TTTTTTTTTTTTTTTGAGGCAGAGTCTCACTCTGTTGCCCTAGGTAGAGTGCCCTGGTGTCATGGCTTACCTCAAACTCTCAAGCTTCAGCAATTCTCTTGCTTCAGCCTCCCAAGTAGCTGGGACTACAGGTGCCTACCACAATGCCTGGCTAGTTTTTCTATTAATAGAGACAGGGTCTGGCTCTTGCTCAGGCTGGTCTTGAACTCCTGAGCTCAAGCCATCTACCTACCTCAGCATGAGCCACCAAGCTTGGCCAGATCACCTTTTCTAGTTTACTTGTAAGGCAATATTTAATAGCTGATGTTTCATTTGCTATTGAAATGCTCCCTAAACTCCTTTGTCTACCATTCTGTGTGAACAATTAAAGTACATTTTTGGAATGGAGGGTTTATAGGAAGCAGAAGAGGTTTTTGGTTTTTTTTATCCTTTTTTGTTGACAAAAAAGTGGAATAAAGGATTTATGGTAGAATAAATTTTAAATTTCTGAATAAACCAGAACTGGTTATGATAATGAGAAGGAAGATGTTTTACAGGGAGGAAAAGAAAAAATAGACACACAAGAAAAGTGGGTCATCGCCTGTTTGCCTAGTAGAAACTACACTAGGTAAAAATCAGACCTGGGTTTTCCAGTGACATCTTAGCAGTATGCTTGCTTATAAAACATTGATACATTATTATAGGTTTACAACTGATTTCTTTAAAATAAACATGCAAAGAATCCTGATACATAGCAAAATTACACAAATGGATTTGAAAAGCATTTACCTAACAATTTCTTTATTTTATTTACCTAATGGGGCTAGTGGACAAAAATCCAAGGTCATAATTTGAAGTTTAGGAAGAGATGTAAAAACATTGTTCAGAACATGTTCAAGACCTACTAAAAGGCCTCCTAAAACCATAATCAGGATTACGGACAACCAAGTAGGGAGGACCTCTGCCTAGCAAACACTGACTCAGGTCCAGAATATGTTCTTCATATGTCTATGAGTAGGTCCAGTTAAGTTTTCTATTATGTAGACAAGGCTGTCTCTAGGGCACACTCATTTATACCAAGTAAAAATTGAATCTTGCCAAAAGGCAATCTTTTTTGTAAATGTTTTCATTCATATTTTTATTTTTGAGACAAAGTCTCACTCTGTTGCCCTTGGTAGAGTGCTGTGGCGTCACAGCTCACAACAACCTCAAACTCTTGGGCTTAAGTGATTCTCTTGTCTCATCCTCCTCAGTAGCTGGGACTACAGGTGCCTGCCACAACGCCCGGCTATTTTGTTGTTGTTGTTTTTAGCAAGCTGGGGCTGGGTTCGAACTCACCAGCCCTGGTGCATGTGGCCGGCACCCTACCCACTGAGCTATAGGCACAGCCTACATACATTCATGTTTTGGTAAATAGTACACTAATAATGGATTTTATATATACTGGATATGGGAGGCACATGTTCACAATTCTGTGTCTCTGACCCAGCTCTCTTCTCTGTACTTCAAGTACCTGTATATTAACTGCCATGAGATGTTCTATTTTTTTTTTTTTTTTTTTTGATACAGAATCTGACTATGTTGCCCTTGATAGAGTGCTGTGGTTCACAGCTCACAGCAATCTCCAACTCTTGGGCTTAAGCTATTCTCTTGCCTCAGCCTCCCAAGTAGCTGGGACTACAGGTGCCTGCCACAACACTTGGCTATTTTTTTGTTGTAGTTGTTATTGTTGTTTTTAGCAGGCCTGGGCCAGGCTTGAACCCACAGCCCCAGTGTATGTGGCCAGTGCCCTAACTGCTGAGCTACAGGCGCCGAGCACTTCAACTTCATATTATTTCTTTCTAATAGGAATTTTATTTCTACCCATAAACATGTGCCTCTCCCAGTTCTTTCCAATTTTAGTAAATGACTCCACCATTTACCCAGTTTCTCCAGGATGTATCCTCAACCTTCCCTTTCCCTTTGTCTATTTCATTGGCAAGCTGTACCTTGATCTTCCTCCAATACGTATCTGAATCTGTCTGTTACTACCACCCTAGTCTAAGTCATAATTATTTCTTGTCTGGGTCTTCTCACTGCTGTTCTTGCCTCCCTGTCAGTTTACTACAGAGCATCCAATGTGGTCTTTTTAAAACCTTAATCAGCTCACTCACTTCTCAGCTTGAAATCCTTTAAGCAGAGCATGATCTGTGTCCAGCTGATGGCCCTAATTTTCACCTTGGCTTATCATGCTCTGGGCACAACACCTTTTTCTTTTGTTCCTTGGCCTGGAATGTACTTCCTTCCACTGACTCACTTCTGTCCTTCTGGCCTCTCCCTGTTACCCTCTCATGACCCAGTTAATTCTTTCTTTTGAACTAATAACAATCTATAATTTGTTTATTTGAAGGGGATCTTTTTTCTTCCTGTTAGAATGTAAACTCTAATGGGTCTTTTCTGACTTGTTCACCAGTGTCTTCCTACGTTAGATCCCAACACAGTACCTGCCACATAATGGGTGCTCAATAAATATTTGTTGATTGAATATAGCAGCAACTTAAGTCTTCTCATTTATATTCCAGTACTTACCATGTTACCTCAAACAAAAAATACAGAGAGAAGGAAAAATATATATATTGATAGCCCAGTTCTCCATAACCCCACCAAAAAAAGAGTGTATGTGTGAATGTATAATTTATTCAATTTAATTCCAACCTAAACACTGTGTATATGGTACTATTGGGGTTTCAACAAATGATACCTCCCTCTCAGATGAACCAGAAAAAAGGATATGGGCAAATACACAACTAACTGCAACTCAACTGCTGAGTTATAAGCAAATGTGATTAAACCATAAATAATGAGACAGGTAAAACCAAAACAAGAAGCAACATATTCTTAGGAGCTACCAATAACATGTTCATACGACTCAACTCCTCCAAGGGGTTGGTGGTAAACTAAACGGTTCTGTTCTCATTTTTTCAGCTGGTGTGTTTTAACATCCCCTTGATGGCTTACTTGTGTTGGAGTTTATTGCATCGGTGTTTTGGTCACAGCTTCAGGTCTCATCTGCATCAAGGAAAATACTTGAAAATTCTACCTTTTCACCTGCTTATGCTACTGCTGTACATCTGGCAGGTGCATTCCTGCTATTTTCTTTATGTGACATATGGCCCCCTAGCTTTTTTATTATCCCCTTTACGGACCTGGTTGACGCTGTTGACACCTGTTCTCATTCGTTGTGTGTGGACACTGAACTCTACCAAGTTTGGAAACTTCATGGTACAGTTGAAAACCACTTGAACTGCTGAAGAATATGTTTCATCACTGGCAGTTGGGCAGAAGTCCAGCCTCTGCATCTGTAGCCCAGGTCCCTGCCCCAATAGCAGGTAGAAGGCCTCTATTGGTGGATGAGCTTCAGGGGCCTCCTGCTCCTTGGACACCTGAATGTTGAGGTATTACCCACTACTGATTACTGCAAAAAGGACTGCAGAAAAGTCTCTAAATAATGTCTTGATTTCTTCCTTCTCTAAGGAGGCAAAGCGTTGAATTTTCTTTGTGAAGAGAAAGCCCTAATATAAGATATCCACAGGGTCGGGGTTGAGTGTGTGTGTGGAAATACGTGAGGCCAAGTGTTTTTAGAGTTACCCCGTGTAAAGCACCCAGTGCCCTGCCTGGAACACAGCAGTTGTCAAGGGTGCAATTTTAGGGGTAGGGAACCTGTGAGGACTTGGATTTGACACTGACTACCTTTGAGATATTAGTTCCCAACTATGTTTCCCACACGGTTATGGGCTCTCTGCTTCCTTAGTCAAGGGTGATTTCAACTAATCAAATAAATGAATGAATGATGAATAATAAATATTATGGGTTTGACCCTTGTCTGCGTGGCCGGCCTCAGTAGGGAGAGGAGGCGTAGTGGCCTCTGGGGGCGGGGCCGGGTCCTTGGGGCGGGGCGGGGCGGGGCGGGGCCGACTGTTGCCGGAAACGAGCCCGGGTCTGTGGGCCCGGAAGTGGAGCTGCCGCTGCTGTGCTGCCGGGCCGTGGCGGTTGTCGGCGTTAATCTGTGAACTGGCTAGCGCTGGAGATGGCGAGCGCGGCGGCCCCCTGCCTGGCTCCGCCTGGGGGGCAGCTTCGGCACTTGGCAGTGGAGCTGCGACTGTTCCTGCCTCGAGTGCGGGGTGAGCTGACGCTGCTGGGACGGGCGGCGGAGGGGCGGCCCTGGGCTGGGGAAGAGGCCAGGCTGGAGCGGTGGCCGGGAACTAGGGGCTCGGGTGGAGGAGGTGGCTCTGCTCATCTCGCCTTTTCCTTTCGCTACTTCCACGCCACACCAGTCGGCGAGGCCCGGGAGACCACCGAGGAGTTTGATCGGCAGGTGTTTTGGAGACGACTCAGTGAGTGCCTCTCCTGGCTGGGACCCGGTCCCTCTAGCTCACCCCACGGCGGTGACTGCCCCTCCCCCGCGCCATCCTCTCCGGGTTTCCTGACTTGCCCATTCTTGGCGCCCGAGGCGTTAAGATAGAAATGTGTTGCTATTTGGAGATCTCTTTGAGACGTCTGGACCGGGAAGGGTGGAGAGGGAACGCGTTATCTTTAAAGTCCAGGCAGCAGCTGCAGCCTCTACCTTCCGGCATTAACTTATTGGTACCTACTCCTCTGCCACCCACCAGATGAGGCAGCTGCGAAAGTGTCAGGCGAAGCCACAGCTCTGACCACAGCCTTCTCTCAACTTCCACTGCCGTCTCCGCAGGTGGGCTTCACTTCCCTGGAGTCCTTGTGCTGCCTAGCTATTCCTTAGGAATCCTTATTTTCTTTCCACATTTTACACTTATCCCGGAGATTTTTTTCTCTCATCTGTCAAATGAGATTATAGTTCTTATTACATATGTTTGTAGGGAAGACCAAATCGCCACGTGTACTTGCTGGCACGGAGAAGGCAGGTTTTCTAAATATTGGGTCAATCTGAAGTTCACCCTGGTAGTCTCCTTTGCTGATCTTTTTTTTTTTTTTTTTGAGACAGTCTCACTATGTCGCCCTCAGTAGAGTGCTATGGCGTCACAGCTCACAGCAACCTCCCACTCTTGGGCTTAAGCGATTCTCTCGCCTCAGCCTCCCAAGTAGCTGGAACTACAGGCGCCCGCCACAAAACCCGGCTATTTTTTGTAGTTGTCATTGTTGTTTGGCAGGCCCGGGCTAGGTTCAAATCAGCGAGCTCCAGTGTATGTGGCTGGCACCCTAGCCGCTGAGCTACAGGCGCTGAGCCTTCTGATCTTTTTTTAAGCCTTTGTTATTTGTTAGGTGTTCTCACATAATGACGCCCCTCTGACATATGAGCAGGCAGGCTCAGAGGCTCAGAATATTAAAAGGCAGTGGAGGTAGAATTTAAGTTAAGGTCTATCTATAGACCTTAGGTGTCAATGCTATACCTATTCTATTATACTTCATAATACTCTTTTTATATTGAACTGTTTTATATATTTAATCAGTAATATGTAGATAATATAGAATTCAGCAGATATCAGTGTTCTAAAATGTGTTAAAATGTTTATATTTTTCCACTGCATTTCCTCATTTTCGTCTCCCTTGCCAATTCCCTTTGTATCATTCCGTATATAGTCTCTATTATGTATATGCATATACTATGGTTACTTATATATTATATATTATAATTTATTATATATGTCATATTATGTATGTTATACATATGTACATATATATGTAAAACATACATAATATATGTATATGTAATATGTACACATACAAGTTCATGTGCATTTATGTGTATATATCTGCTCCTTTTTACAAATGCAACCATAAACACTGTTCTGGACCTTTCTCATTAAAAAAAAAATTAAGAGTATAGCTTGGAAATCAGTCCTTAGTAACAGATGTATAGTGGCTCAGTTTTTGTAATCAGTGCATTGTTTTCAATAGAGTGGATATAAACTTAATTTAACCAATACTCTGTGTGAACATGTAAGCTGTTTTCAATTTGTAACTATTGTAAACAGTGCTGTAGTGATTTGCCTAATACAGACTTTGTATTGTGTATATCAATAAAAAAAATTCCCAGAAGTGAAATTGCTAGAATAAAGAATGTATGCATTTTTAATCTTTATTATAAAACCAATAGAGGTGGTGCCTGTGGCTCAGTGAGTAGGGTGCCAGCCCCATATACTGAGGGTGGCAGGTTCAAACCTGACCCCAGCCAAACTACAACAACAACAAAAAATAGCCATGTGTTGTGGTAGGCGCCTGTAGTCCCAGCTACTCAGGAGGCTCAGGCAAGAGAATCGCCTAAGTCCAAGAGTGGAGGTTGCTGTGAGCTGTGACACCATGGCACTCTACTGAGGGCCACAAAGTGAGACTCTTGTCTCAAAAAAAAAAAAAAAAACAATGAAAGTAAACATGTTTGCTGTGACAAGGGTATGCTGTTTTTCTAGAACTGTATATCCTTAATTTTGGAGTAAGATTATTTTAAAATTCATTGCCTTATTTGATTTTCATAGTCCCTAGTTTCCATCTCTTTATCTAGATGTTTTGAAATTATATAATAAATATACTTTTTCTGCATATACCTGCAATGATAAACCCTCTCCCCCTACATACCTTAGTGATTTGTGATGAGGAAATAGAAAATGAATTTATGAGAGCACTTTTAAACAGATTCATTGAAAAAAGTCCATTTCAGAAAAAGTAGTAGTTCTACCTTTTTTTTTTTTTTTACCTGCTGACTACTATCTTTCAAATATGCTTAGGATTTCTTTTTTTTTCTCCTTTGGCAGTTTTGGCTGGGGCTGGACTTGAACCCGTCATCCCCAGTATATGGGGCCGGTGCCCTACTCCTTGAACCACAGGCACTGCCCTATGCTTAAGATTTCTAAAACTCACAGTAAGACATGAGGCAGCATAGAATTTATTTTCTGTACATACTCAGGACAGTAGTTTCACTCATAGATGAAAATTAGAATTTGGTTTGTGTAAAATACAGATATATAAGTATGTATTCAAATATATTTACTCAAATATCTGTATAAACATATTTAAATATATACAGTTGCCTTCTTAGGCTTTCAGCACTTTAGTCCTACTAAACGTTGGTTTGTTGTTTTTTAATTCCAATCTATATGGATGGGCTGACAAATTTTATAATTATATAAAGTTTTGTGTTGAAGTAATGTCAGGTTGCCTTAAAATTTTCTAAATACACTCAGTCACTGTACTTATCTCATTCCAGACTGGTAACAGTTTGTGGACTGGCACCAATCTGGACCACATTTTGCATAGCACTGACTTAGAAGTTTGCAGAGAAATGAGTGTAAGGAAAATGAGAAAGTGTGAGAAAGTCATTGACCGCTTAGAAGAAAAATAGACAACACTGAGCATTGTTGAGTCCATGCTAATTACCTTTAGTTACATATTATGATTATGATACCAGAGAGAGAGAGAGAGAGAGACCTGGTTCATGGTCTAATTCAGGGGCTGGCTAACTTTTTCTGTAAAGAGCTGTTAGTATGTGTTTTTAGGCTTTGCAGGCCAATTACCAAACTCACCTCTTGTGGTGTGAACACACTATAGACAATATATAAACCAATGAGTATGGCTGTGTCCCAATAATACTTTATTTGCAAAAACTAGCAGTAGGCCTGATTTGTCCCATAGGCCAGTTGGCCAACTCCTGATCTAAGATAAGGTGAATACCTTCCTTATGGCAGACCAAAAATATCTTGGAATATAGAGTATCAAGAGTAAATTTCTCCAGTTGTTTCTTACTGGTTTGTTGAGTTGTCAGCCCAATGTCTTGTGTTTTTCTAACTCCTCCCTGGCATGCGATAAGTATAGCAAAAGGCGTAATTGATACCAGTACTCAGAAAATGTTGATGATGCTTTAGAGTTATCTGCTGTCATCCATGGTAAATTAGTATGACCACATTGATCTAATCCATATCTTTTTTTCATTCCGAAATTGGTCCATCACCTCATAGGAAACCCAGAGGTTCTGTGAAAAAGTCCATGCTGCTATCAAGGCAATAATTGCAGTATACTATTCACTTCCAAAGGATCAGGGTAAGCCACATAAGTGTTGTATTTATAGGGTAGGTCTTTGCTAATAATGTTCTCAGTCTTTTACTTTACTCCAATTTGAACATGTAAATTTCTCCTCCTAGTTCAAGGATAATATTATAATGTAAGTGACCTCCATAAACAAGCCATTATGCTAAGATACAGATGCTTTATTCCTAAACTTCCCATTTCCCTGGCTTGCCTGACATTTAAGGTTTTTAATTTTCACTGGCTCCTCTCTCTCCAGTCTTTCCAACCAGAACAGGTGCTGGCTGGAGTGCAGTCCTGTACTCATGCTCAGGCCATCCTGCTCTCCTTTACCCATATTTTTTTTCTTAAGACAGAGTCTCACTTTGTCACCCCCTCACCCATATTATATCACACCCTATTTTTGAGCTCCCTCATAGGTTAGGTGGCTTTCAGCCCTGCATATAGATTCATGCCTTGATTATAATTGTGCCATAATTGTAACGGAATGTGTGTCCTATATCTTCAGGGTTATTCCACAAATGGTTTAAACTTCGTGTTGCCTCTGCAATTGTTAAGGGATTGCTATCCTTAATAAATAAATATATGATGTCATGGGAAGATTTTGTTCCAGATATCTTCTAGAGAACAGCACTAAGGGATGGTGGGAGGGGCAAGACGATGGCTTGAGGATATAAATATATACATACATATACATATATGTATACATATATATATTTTTTAGAGACAGAGTCTCACTTTTTCACCCTTGGTAGAGGCTATGGCATCACAGCTCACAGCAACCTCCAGCTCTTGGGCTTAGGTGATTCTCTTGCCTCAGCTTCCCGAGTAGCTGGGACTACAGGCGCCCACCACAGGCTATTTTTGTTGTTGTTGCAGTTTGGGGCCAGGTTGGAAACCGCCACCCTCAGTATATGGGGCTGGCGCCCTACTCACTGAGTCGCAGGCACCACCCAGGATATAAATATTTTAAAACCTGAGTTTTGTGTTGGCATTTCAGTGAAAGCATGTGAGGGCACTTTATCTCATAGTTCTGTAGAGTTTAGACTCAGGAAAGCAGAAGGCAATTTCTGAAAGAAGACCAGGCTTCTTACTCTTTGGTTTTTGCCACAGGGATCACCCTGAGAAAGCTGGTACGAGGCACCACTTTGGAAATTGTGGATGGCATGGCTCAGCTTGTGGAAGCACTTTCCATCACTCCAGCTCAGAGGTAGTGATTTACAGTTTGGGTTGGCAGTTAATGGGGTTCCTTGACTCATGGAGGGGAAACTCGTTTTAACAGCAGAGTGTCTGATAGCTGAGAATAATGGCCAGGAGGGAGGCACTTCGGAGACAGGAACCTAGGTTATTGATATATCCTTCCTGATCCTTTCCCCAGCCCTGAGAACAAGGACTTTATTTCCTGCAACAGTGTCTGGGTTGCGTGCCAGCAGGTGCCTCGGATACCAAGAGGTGGGTAAGAGTGGAAAGTGGGCTACAGCAGAGAGACCTCTCTTGTCTAGCTTCTAGCTTTATAATATGTATGCATTTTAATTTAAATTAAAACTTTAGTGAAATATATGTCGTTTATTACATTAATTGTGGGTGTTAATACTTCTAAAATCAGAGCTCCCCTCTTATTGTGGCTCTTTTTTCTGTTGAACAAATACAATTTGTTTTTCTTGTCCTGCCCCAATAATAGTTTTATGGGACACACTGAAGCAGTTATGACATAAAAGAGCTAGGCTCAAGACAGTGAGCTGTGGCTCGGTGCCTATAGCTCAACCGGCTAAGGCGCCAGCCACGTACACCTAAGGTGTCGGGTTCGAATCCCCAGCCCGGACCTGCCAAACAATGATGACGGCTGCAACCAAAAAATAGCCGGGCATTGTGGCGGGCGCCTGTGGTCCCAGCTACTTGGGAGGCTGAGGCAGGAGACTCGCTTGAGCCCAGGAGTTGGAGGTTGCTGTGAGCTGTAATGCCACGGCACTCTGCCCAGGGGGACAGCTTGAGGCTCTGTCTCAAAAAAAAAAAAAAAAAAAGACAGTGAGCTGTGATGAGAAACATCATGTGACCATTTTATTTCTCTGGGTGGTGAATAAAGAAAAGCTTTTTAACTCCCCTATGTGAGTACCAGGGGATGTAATGAGAAGAATTTTACATTAAACCACCACCTTTATCAACTGTTCTTGGCAATTCCTTCAGTAGGAACAGTGTGGTTTGTCAACACCGTGGTTGCCCTTTGTCAACTTGAGAGAATTGTTGAGTTTCTCCTTTAATTCTAGTGCTTCTGATTTTTCGCTCGTAGATAACAAAGCTGCAGCCCTTTTAACACTGACAAAGAATGTGGATTTTGTGAAGGATGCACATGAAGAAATGGAGAAGGTAAGGGAATCTCTGTCTTTCTTGGTCATGGGAAGATAACTGCCTGACTGGCAGATAATTGATTACAGAGGCTCAGTGCTTGTAACTCAGCAGCTGGGGCACCAGTGACATACACTGGAGCTGGCGGGTTCCAAACCTGGGCCTGCCAAACAATAATGACAACTACAACAAAAAAATATCTGAGTGTTGTGATGGGTGCCTATAGTCCCAGCTACTTGGGAGGCTGAGGTAAGAAAATTGCTTAAGCCCAGGAGTTGGAGGTTGCTGTGAGCTGTGACGCAACGGCACTCTACCCAGGGTGACACAGTGCGACTGTCCCAAAAAAAAAAAAAATTCATTAGAGAAATTTCCTGAGCACTGAGTGAATAGGTCCCATTCTCACTATTACCCTTTGTCTTCCCGCTCCTGTTCTGGTGGATGTGTGGTGTGGTACCGCTCCTGTCTATTCCATTGCTGGACAGAGTGAGATCTGGGTTTATGAAGTGACTGAATTCTGTAGTGATTAGTGAAGTAGCTGGCTGAGGGTTTTGGACAACTCAAGACATGGTGTTAAAAGTATCACAACTTTTTTTTTTTTTTTTGGCATTCACATATATTATGAGAATAAACCTATAACATGTGCCTTCCCATGTTATATTATGATATATCAGGCTGTGGAAGAATGTGACCCTTACTGCGGCCTCTTGAATGACAGTGAGGACACCTCTGACCACCATAATGATGAGGATGATGTGTTGGGGTCTCCAACCAATCAGGACTTATACTGGTCAGAGGAAGACCAAGAGCTCATCATCCCATGCCTTGCACTAGTGAGGGCCTCCAAAGCCTGCCTGAAGAAAATCCGGATCTTAGTGGCAGAGAATGGGAAGAAAGATCAGGTGGCCCAGCTGGATGACATTGTGGATATTTCTGATGAAATCAGCCCCAGGTAAGTGTGATCCTCACTTGAAACGTCTGAGTAGCAGCATTCTGATCTCAGCTTGTACTGTCACCCTAAGGTTTTTCCCACGTTATTTTTATTTTGACACTTTTCAGACCTACAGGAAAGTTGAAAGTACTTCAGTGAACATCCCTACATCCTTCATGTGGACATTTCACATTTTTTCCCTATATTGGTTTATTTCTGTCTTCTGTATTTATTCCTAAACCTTTCAAGAGTAAGTTGCAGACATTGATGACATTTCACCCCTAAATACATGTGTAAATCAGCATGAATCTACTAAGAACAAAGACATTCTTAATACCACATTCAAGAGATTTAGCCTGAGAGATAATATTAATGTCTAATCTTCAAATTTCTCCATTTGTCTATAAAATGCCTTATATAAATCCAGAGTTCTGTCAAGACCTCATATTGCATTTGGTTGTCGTCTCTGTAGTCTCTTGAAATCTACAACAGTTGACATCCTTTTTAGTCTTTTTTGACATTGACATTTTTAAAGAAATCAGGTCAGTTGTCTTTAGAGTATCTAGAATACCCAATCTGGATTCGTGTGATTGTTTTCTCATGATTATACTCAGGGGGAACATTTTTTGGTAAGAGTATCATACAGTTGAGTATTTGTACTCATATTGGGGAGGCACATGTTACAGGTTTGTTCCATCATTGATGGTACTAGATTTGATCACTTGATGAAAGTGGTGCCCATTTTAGTAAGGGTGCCCATTTTAACATGGTGCCCAGTAAAATGGGTGTCCATTTTACCCAAGAACTGTAAGTTCCATTGATAAACCCTGCCTCTATTAGTTACTAAACTGATAATTTCACACCCTCATGTTTCTGACTGAATTAAACCTATTCTTCCTATGAACCAAAGGAATATTTTCCCCCAGCTTCCTAGTGAAAAGGGCTATGTTTCAGTAAATACTGGTTGAATTCATTCTGTATTGGTTGCCCAGTTGCCCAATTTAGACATTTCTAGGACAGTTTCTTTTTTTTTTTTTTGAGACAGAGTCTTACTATGTGTTGCCCTCAGTAGAGTGCTGTGGCGTCACAGCACACAGCAACCTCAAACTCTTGGGCTCAAGTGATTGTCTTGCCTCAGCCTCCTTTGTAGCTGGGACTATAAGCACCTGACACAACACGCGGCAATTTTTTTGTTTGTTTAGCAGGCTCGGGCTGGGTTAGAACCTACCAGCCCCTGTGCATGTGGCTGGTGCCCTAACCACTGAGCTACAGGTGCCAAGCCTCTGGGACAGTTTCTTAATAATTACTTCTGTAGTTGCGTACTGGAAACAACCTAGTTGAGCTTTGTTCTTTTTTTTTTAAATGTTTATTTTTGCTTCCTGCTTTTAGTGTGGATGATTTGGCTCTGAGCATATATCCACCTGTGTGCCACCCAACCGTGCGAATTAATGTAAGTACTGGTTTTGAGGGAATAGCTACAGACCTACTAGGTAGAATTTCACTAATGACTAGTATTTCCTCTAAGTTATGGGGTACATTTGTCACATTTGGATGCAAGTACAACATGAATGCATATGTTTGTGCTTGATAAATATTTGCTGAAATTGAATTATAGCCTTAAGTTTTGGTAGTTATCTTTCATAACCACTTGGATAATCATTTAGAAAAGTCCAAAGATCTTAGAAAATGGCATTTGGAGAAGAGCGTCTTTTTTTTTTGAGTCAGAGTCTCAACTTTGTCACCCTAGGTAGAGTGCTGTGGCAGCATAGCTTACAGCAACCTCAAATTTTGGGGCTCAAGCGATTCTCTTGCTTCAGCCTCCTGTGTAGCTGGGTTTATAGGTGGCTGCCACAAGGCCTGGCTATTTTTTTTAGGGATGGGGACTCACTCTGGCTTAGGCTGGTCTCAAACCTGTGAGCTCAGGCAATTCACGCATTTCAGTCTCCCAGATTGCTAGGATTATAGGCATGAGCCACCATACCTGGCATGTATTTTCAGGATGTATAAACACCTTGAAGTAGAATAGGATTCTTTTAGGCATTAGCTTTTTTTGGCATTAACTTTATAAAAATTGACTTCCTAAGAAATAAGCATCTTTAGCAATATATCTTGTCAACTATCTTAAACAATATTTACTGTAACAATTTTAAAATGTCTGCTATGCATATCTCAAACTCCTGGGCTCAAGTGATCTTCCTGCATTAGCCTCCCAAGTAGCTAGGACTACAGGCACTTACTACAGGGCCTGGTAGATTTTTGTCTATTCTTAGAGACTGGGTCTCACTCTTGGCTTAGGGTGGTCTCGAACTACTGTGCTCAGGTGATCCTCTGTTGCCTTGGCTTCGCAGGGTGCTAGGATTACAGGCATGAGTCAGCACACCCAAACCATATTATCTTAATATTGATATTCTTAAAATATTTCACATCAGTGGTCCCCAACATTTTTGGCACCAGGGGCCAGTTTCATGGAAGACAATTTTTCCATGGACGGGGGTAGGGTAGGGTAGACTAACAGGAGGTGAAGCTCAGGCAATGATATGAACAGTGGGGAATGGCTGTAAACACTGATGAACCTTCACTTGCTCACCTGCAGCTCACCTGCTGTGGTCCAGTTCCTAAAAGGCCACAAATGGAAATTGGGGACTACAGCTTTATATGGTTTTTAAAAAAGGAACATTAGTCATTTCAACTTTATATTATGAGCTGTCAGCAGTTGGGACAAATCCAGGTTCCTTGTTTTTCTGCTTTGTTTTATTTATATATTTATTTAGACAAAGTCTCACTTTGTCGCCCTCAATAGAGTGCTGTGGCTCACAGCAACCTCTAACTCTTGGGCTCAAGCAATTCTCTTGCCTCAGCCTCCTGAGTAGCAGGGACTACAGGCACCCACAACAACACCTGGCTATTTTTAGAGATGGTTGGAGGGGGTCTCACTCTTGCTCAGGCTGGTCTCGAACCTGTGAATTCAGATGATCCATGTACCTCAACCTTCCAGAATGCTAGGATTACAGGCATGAGCCACTTCGCCTGGCCTGCTCTTTCATTTTTTTTTTTTTAAATATGGAGTGCTTCACGAATTTGCATGTCATCCTTGGGCAGGGGCCATGCTAATCTTCTCTGTATCTGTCCAAGTTTAGTATATGTGATGCTGAAGTGAGTACTGCTTTTTCTTTTCTTTTCTTTTTTTTTTTTTTTTTGAGACAGAGCCTCAAGCTGTCGCCCTGGGTAGGGTGCCATGGCCTCACAGCTCACAGCAATCTCCAACTCCTGAGACTCCCAAGTAGCTGGGATCACAGGTGCCCGCCACAACGCCTGGCTAGTTTTGGATTGCTGTTGTTTGGCAGGCCCCGGCTGGATTCAAACCCACCAGCTCAGGCGTATGTGGCTGGCGCCTTAGCCACTTAAGCCACAGGCGCCAAGCCTGCTCTTTCATTATTTAATTAAAAATATTTTAAATTTAGGCAGTGCCTGTGGCTCAGTGAGTAGGGTGCTGGCCCCATATATTGGCCCGGTTCAAACCCAGCCCTGGCCATATTGCAATAACAACAACAAAAATAGCCGGGCATTGTAGTCCCAGCTACTCAGGAGGCTAAGGCAAGATAATCGCCTGGGCCCAGAGGTTGGAGGTTGCTGTGAGCTATGTGATGCCATGGCACTCTACTGAGGGTGATAAAGTGAGACTCTGTCTCTACCAAATATATATATATTTTTTTATTTTAAAAAATTTATAACAATGTTATAGCAATAGTATTAAAAAGATTTTGCTAACAAGAATCCATAATCCTGCTACCCTAATGTAATTAATGTTTTGTTTTTGTATATTTTCTTCAAGTTTTTTTTTTAAGTTTTTTTTTTTATTACTTTGGTCTTTTAAAATATTTGAGCTCTCTGTTCCTTTTTATGGTAGGGCTCAGGGTCAGTAACTTCTTTGTTTCTCTTCTAGTCTGCGAAACTTGTATCTGTTTTAAAGAAGGCACTTGAAATTACAAAGTAAGTATGAGGACTTCTCCCCTGATAGCTTTTTGAGAATAAAACTGAGTTTCTGTCCAGCTATTCTCAACTCCCAAACCCCAATTTTAAGGAATGGGAAACAGCATGTGTGGATTCCCCCTCCCACAGCTTCAACTGTAGAGCAGCTAAGTTTCTGCAAAGAAGTTTGCTTTTTTTTTTTTGTAGTGAAAATCTGCTTTCCAGATTTTTTTTTTTTTAACTGTAGTTCCCTCTATGGTCCCTCTTAAAAGTAAGTTTTCCTTTGACACTATAATAATTTTAACTCTCTTTTCCTATTCCTTTCACAGAGCAAGCCATGTGACCCCTCAGCCAGAAGATAGCTGGATCCCTTTACTTATTAATGCTGTTGATCATTGCATGAACAGAATCAAGGAACTCACTCAGGGAGAACTTGAATTATGAGTTCAAAGGCTCATTTGTACTCTGCTCTTGCCCTCTCTTACCGTCACAGACAGGCTCTGATGTCTGCTTTTGAAATGGGGCTAGAATGCTTGCTGGATTGGAAGGGAGTTTCTGTCTATATTTAGCAACAGACAATATTCCCCAAGATTGTTGGTTAGGCCAGACTGGAAATTATTTATAAACTGTATGAGTGTAATACATTCTGTGCTAGATACAAAATTGCATGGGTTTGTGTTCCTCAGTTGCTTCTCAGAAATTCCTAGGGAACCTTCCTTATTCCTTATTTACAATAAAGTGTGTTGTTTTCATTGTTAAAGATGTTGATGATGTCAATAAAATGCTAACTTGCCAGTGATTAAATGATTTCTTCCTGCCAGAAATACAATAGATTGAGACTAGAACATTGCTTTCCTTTGGTTTTATAGATCTAAAGATCTGATTCTGATCAGAACTATATTTAGAATAAAACACTTGACTTTAATTTATTTAGAAAAGATCACTCCAGAGCTCCACTTAGTACTTCACCATGGTTACATAATATTATTCTTATCAATAAGTCCTTCTGAAAATTATCCCAGGTCACTCATTACTCCATGCCTCTAAAATATATTGGTATTGAGGTCAGTTGTTGGGTTTATCTACATGATTGAGCAAATTTGTTTTTCTTATACATACTGGTAATACTTGTACTGTACTGTTACATGTGTACCCGAATATAAATATCAAATTTTTATAAATCAAAAAAAATTTAATGTATAAGAGTTTACATAAATTTCAGGGTTTTTTTTTTTTTTAGCTAATCCTTTTGCAAAACCATCATCACTTATATTTTTTGCATCACTCTGGTTAGAAGATTAAATCTTGGGCAGCAGGGTAAACCTGTAGGGCTATATACTCCGGTGACCTGAATTGAGCCTTGGTCACAGGTCTCCACCACCTCCAGTGGCAGTCCTCTTCCTTCTCTGGCTGGAGTTCACCACATCTGCCTTTCTGATTCTTTAGGTATAATCTACAACAGCAGGTATTCTTTTAGTGATTAGTGTATTCTTGGGGTTGAAATTGCTTAAGCCAAGTGAGTTTTAATTTGCTTTTTTAAAGTGCCATTCTATACTTTTACCAAGTATCATAAAGAGAAGGAACTAAAATCAAATCAATAAGTGTTCCAAAGCACCAAAATAACCAACAAAAAAATCATAGCTTTGTACAAAAGGAGTCTGGTTCTTTTTTACATTCTTACAGAGCCAACTTTTTAAAAATATACTTAATTATTTTCATATTAAGTAAATTAATTATTTTATATTACTTTATTGGACAAAATTCACATTGTTACTATCAGGCTTTAATTGTGAGGTACTTCATGAATTTAGAGCTCTAATAAACTGAATATTTCCGTTATCAGGTTCAGTGTTATGTATTTTATAAATGAGTTCAGTCATTTCTGGATCTTTTTTTTTCTTTTTGTTTTAGACAGTCTTAACTTTGTCGCCCTTGGTAGAATGCTATGGTGTCATAGCTCACAGCAACATCAAATTCTTGGGCTCAAGTGATTCTCTTGCTTCAGTTTCCTGAGTAGCTGGGACTACAGGCACCCACCACAACACCTGGCTATATTTTTAGAGACAGAGTCTTGCTCCTGCCTCAGGCTGGTCTCAAACTCGGGAGCTCAAGCAATCCACCCATATCAGCCTCCACAGTGCTAGGATTACAGACGAGCCTCTGCGCCTGGCCCTATTTTTGGATCTTAAAAGATAACAGTCTGGAATAGCACTGATCAATGTAATTTTAGGATTAGCTACAAATTCATTTTTGGCTAATACTGTCCCACTGTGTCATAAATATAAGAATGATGTAAATATTAGGTCTTTCCCTTATAAGTTAGTGAATGTGTGAATGGGCAGTAAAATGATTGTGAAAAACCCTGAACACCCCAAATCTGACCATACTCTGAAAAAGTATCTGAATATCTTTTCTAACAATCTGTACTTTTAAAGGTATCTGATACCTTTTTTAAAAAAATTTCAGAATAGTATGGGGATACAAATGTTTTGGCCACATGAATTGTTTTTGTACAGTTTGAGTCAAAGTTATAAATGTGCCCATCACCCTGTAATGTACCTTGTACCCGTTAGGTGTGATTTTACCCGTTCTTTCCTCCCCCTTCCTTCTCATACCTTTTCAAAGCCTTTCTTTTGTCTCTCAGTCCTTTAAGACAGCTAGTCTTCATGGCATCCTTAAGCTGAGTTGACATAAATGAATGCCTTATCTTTTGGTTCTGGGAATCTAGTTTTGTTCTTGCTCAGTCTTCTGCTCCACCTGAATGGAGACTCACTTGTTTGATAAGCGAACTGTTATGGTTTGGATATTTGACCCTCTAAATGTCATGGTGGAATCTGATTCCTAATGTTGGAGGTGGGGCCTACTGGGAGGTATTTGGGTCATGGAGGCAGATCCCACATGAAAGGGCCTGGTGCCCCCGTGGTAATGATCTGGTTGTTGAAAAGAGCCTGGTACCTCTCCTCTTTCCCTCTTTCTTTTTTTACATGTGATCTCTGTCCACACTGGCTCTCCTTCACCTTCCACCCTAAGCAGATATAGTATTTTGCTTCTTGTACAGCCTCCAGAACTGTGAGCCAAATCAACCTCTTCTTCATAAACTACCGCCTCAGGTATTCATTTATAGCAACACAAAGGGACGGAGACACAGCTTCTCATCCTAGCCCATGTTTGGTTTTAGATAGTAACGTCAAGGGTTGGTTGGGAAGAGTGATGATAGAGCTGGAAGTTTAAGCTGGAAGTTCAGGGGCTACCACAGTAACACTTTTATAGCTGGTGAGGTTCTGGAACATGTTGCAGTCCAATTCCACAGTGAGCTTCTGGACTCCCACGTGTGTTGGTGTGAACTGGAACTGGGTGCACACAGTATGTCCAGGCCGCACTGAATTTAATCTGAAATAAAGGAAAGACAGGTGCTAGTTCTTTCCTAGGTTCATTGCTCTGCCAGTCCCAGTGACTTTGATCCTTCCTTTCGTGGAGAGGGTGGACCTTGCAGAAATAAACATCTAAATACCTTGCTGTTAGAAGATACTATAAGGGAGTAGAAGACAAGAGCCTCCTTACACTAAGCATTTACATGGTTGGGAAGAGACACATCCTAAAGGCTTGTTCCCTTCATCTTCTGTGATCTCAGTCTAGTTCAGCTCTTGGTAATATAGTACTGGAGTATATTTGGAAAGGCTGTAGTTTTGGAACCCTTGCTTATTGCTTAGCTCAAAGGGTACAGTAGGCATATTGACACGATGTCAGTATATCAGCAGGTGGTGTTTGGAGCCCCATCAGCAGCCTCCTGGCCTGCCTGTAGACCTTCTTTTGGTAACTGAGGACATGGTACAGATTTCCCTTGAACTTGTCCTGCAAATTATCTGGGAGAAATGAGTCTGGTTGACTGTCCCTCCTCTTGACTTATGGGCAGGAGCAACTATTGAGTTTTATGAGGCTAAGTCACCTGCCAGGGACCTCAAGGAAAGTAGGAGTAACTTAAATATCTTTAAGTAAACTTTAAGTATCTTTTTTTTTTTTTTTTTTTTTTTTGAGACAGAGCCTCAAGCTGTCCCCCTGGGCAGAGTGCCGTGGCATCACAGCTCACAGCAACCTCCAACTCCTGGGCTCAAGCGAGTCTCCTGCCTCCGCCTCCCAAGTAGCTGGGACCACAGGCGCCCGCCACAACGCCCGGCTATTTTTTGGTTGCAGCCGTCATTGTTGTTTGGCGGGTCCGGGCTGGGGATTCAAACCCGCCACCTTAGGTGTACGTGGCTGGCGCCTTAGCCGGTTGAGCTATAGGTGCCGAGCCAACTTTAAGTATCTTAAATTTTAGACTGTGTATTCAAGCATGCATTGGACATGATGAAAGAAGATATTTACAACATATAAACCAGCAAGAGACTGATACCTAGAATATATAGGGAATCCCAAGAAATCAACAAGAAAAAAGGGCAAGAAGAGCCAAAAAAAAAAAAAAAATGAGCAGTCATGATGACATGACTTTACAGAGAAGGAAATGGATAAAGCTGACAAATATATGAAGAGTTACAAACGAGTAAAATACTACTTTATTTCTGTTAGGCTAGAAGAAAATAGAAAGGTGGATGGTGCCAGGAGTAGAGGAGAGAGGAGTGTAGAAACTCGTGTAGTTCTGGAGGGAGTGTGGACTCCTGCAGCCATTCTGGAAATGCATCAGGTCATATCCTATGACTCAGCAATTCTGTTCCTGGGCCTATGTATTCCCTGACTGCAGAGTTTCAGACAAATAGATAAGCAGATCTGGGTAAGGATGTTTACTGCAACATTATTTGTGGTGTCAGCTGGAGGCACTCTGGGTGCCAGTCACTGTGGAGAGGAGTGATAGGAAGTGGCAGATAGATACAACGGAGTATTATGTAGCAGAAGCAATGGACTTGACGTATGTGTGGGGATCTTAAGAACTCAGTTCTGAGTGAAAAGTAAGAACAGTTAGATGTACATTTATGTAAGTTAAAAATCCAGACTCAAGGAGCAACAGTACACAGTACACATTTTATACATACTAACAAAAGGATATGAAGGGTGGTTATGGAAATGTGAACAAATGCCACAAAAAATAAACAAAACTGTGTATTGTAGTGTGACTAATAGAATGCAGCTCTCTGATCACACCGAGCGGTGGCCTATCTTCCCTTCAACACTTTAGTACCAGCCCTAACTCCCTCGCCTGCATTCACCAGCAGCTCTCCCTGCATAACCAGGGTCAAGTGGGTACCCAAGAGGCCCACATAGCCTCCCTCTCCCCATCCCCTGTAGACATGGTGATTCCAGGAGGAGAGAGGTCATTTGGCTTTCTTTAGTTCAACTTCTGGGGATATTTACTCTGTCTCTATGGACATGGCAAAGAGACAATCATTAGGTTATTAAGTATGAAGTGTCCATTTTCCTTAAGTACTAAGTTTGACAGTTGATATGTGTATCTCTGACATTTCACTTTGACACTTCCTGTTGTTTTCTTTTTGTTGTGAGGGTACATCCTTATTCTTTCAAATGCTCATTTTGGTTTGTGATTATCTTTCAAATTTCTTTTTAGACCAGTTTTTTGTGAAATCATGGATAAGCCAAAAATCCGTGTTAATTTTGACTGTGAGTTCCATTGTGGAATCAATACAGCACACACAGCTTGAACTATCAACCCAGTGTTTGGGAAGGATGTAGCTAATGAACACACAGTATGTCCATGGATTGAGATGTTCCATTCTGGTGATTTTAATCTTAAAAATGAGCCATGTAGGTGATCTGAGACCAAGGTGGGATAAAGAAGCCGAAGGCTGTAGTGGTAGCAAATCCATCTCTACCTACACATGTACTAGCAGCAAGGCTTGATGTTACGATTCCAACGATTTTGGACCATAGAAAACAAATTGGTAAGGTAAGAAAGCTGGATAGATGTGTTCCACATGAATTAAATGAGCCTTGGAAGAGACATTTTCTCGAAGCTTGCCTTTCTTTGCTGTCACAGCATAAAGACAACAATGGTTTGTCACAACAGACCATTTCTGTACTCATTTCTATACCATATTGTTACATGTGACGAAAACTGGATTCTCTTTGACAATTACAAGGGTTCATCACAATGGTTGGATAAAGAGGAAGTGTCCAAACACAGTCGAAAACCGAATATTCATTAAAAAAAGCTAATGGTGTCTATTTAGTGGTCCAGCGCTGGTATTGTCCACCACAGATTGTATAACCTGTATAACCTTTGTATAACTTGTCAGTTGCAACAGATGTCTACTGCAACAAACTGGATGAAATGATGAGGATGCTTGTGATTAAACAGCCAAAACTGGTCAATAGAGACAGGCCAATCCTCTTGCAAGACACTGCTCCATCACATGTTGCATAAGCAATGTTGCTAAACCACAAAACTACAGAAGTTAGATTTGGAAACTCTCTGTCATCTACCATATTCATCAGACCTTGCACCACCTGACTACCCATTCCTCCAGGCTTTGAACCACTTCTTGTGAGAAAAAAATATTTGATTCTCAACAAACTGTGGGAAACGTCTTTCCGGATTTCATCGCTGCCTGCCCTACAGACTCCTTTGCTGCTGGCACATGTAAGCTACTGTTCAGATGTCAACACATAGTTTAGGTTTATGCTTTGACTAATGTATGGTTCTTGTCTGAGATATAATAAGCTAAATGTTTGATCCAAAGTCGGACATTTCAGACTTAATGACCTAATATTACTTTTGGGTCTCTGCCTTTCTAACCGTTTGAGATATGTCGACGGGATGAGAAGCTTTCGGTCTCTTACCTGTAGCTCCTCTCCCTGTAAATGAGCCCTCTTCCAAGGATCGAGATTACACAGTCCTTCATGGGGGCATCCAGGGAGTTGTAGATGCTGACTGAGGCCATAAGAGGTTGATACTGTTCAGCTTTCTCTGGCATCTGTGGAAGAGGTCACACCTGGAGTGAATGCCAAGGGCACAGAGCTGCAGTCATTCTCCCCCTTCCTGTGCACTCTGTACCCTCCTCCGTTACTCTTCTCAAATCCGCCAAACTGACCCAAACTCCACAGCTGACTTGCCTCCCCCCATATTTGATCTTTCTGCATCTATTCTCACCCTTGCTCCATCACTGACTATCTCTGATAGTGCCCCTCCTCTGCTTAGATCTTACCTGTCTTCAGAATTCAGCCTGGGATGCATTTGGGGTCTTTCAAAGTCTGCCCCCAACCCATCTCTCCAGCCTCACCCCTTCTTCCCTTGGTTAAAAGATATCCCAGCCATGTCAGGGACTTCCCAGCCCCGGAACACCCCCAACCCCCCTTCCTTCACCCGTCTTCTGCCCTCGGTGGCCTTCCCCAATTTCTGCACTGAAAGCATACCCGTTTGTCAAGGTCCAGCATAAGGGTAGTATCCTTCCTAAAGTCATCTGCACACTCACCAGCTGGTATTAATTCCCTTTGCTTCACTTGTCCCATAGTGACTTTGCATATCTATTAAGCACTTCCATAGAAGGCCAAACTTGTACCCTCTTACCTTCCTGAGGGTAAGGACTAGATCTCATTCACTTTGGCCTAGGTAGACATGTGAGAAAAGGGCTGGACCAAGAGCATAAGCCTCTGGGACTTCCTGTTTTTATGATCTTGGGCCTGTTGCTCTCTACAACTCAGTTTTCTCACCTGAATAATGGGAACGGTTCCACCTCATAGGGCTTTTGTATTAGAAGAAATAAGGGAGGTGAAAACTCTTTGGCATATATACACATAAAACATGAAATAAACACAGGCCATTATTATCCCTGTAAGTATGGGAACAGCAACTTTTAGAAGCTTTTACTTAACCAATTAAAGACGTTGGACAAGTTAAATCTTAAGAGCTTCTGTAAGAAGCCATCACTTTCACGAAAAGCAGTTCTCACACCCAGCATTTTCTGGCAATTCTGCAGCATGACCATCCGCTCTGAAGCTTGAGGAGCTCAGATTTCTTCTGAAATGGGAGCCCGAGTGGTAGCAGAGGAGAGTAATTCGGAGAAAGACTAGTGCCTACCTCGATGTCAAGGTGTGGTTTACAGATGGCAATGTCTTCCTGAGCAAAGCAGCTAAACCTGGACTCAGAGTGTGTCGCCACGGCGGTGAGTCTGAGGAAGCTGTTCTCAGGTGGGTTTTGCTCAAATAAGGAGAAGGACAGGCTGGTGGTTATTCTCCGAACTGAAACACATGACAGGCAGAGTCAGTGTCAAGGGTGCCCCAGAAACAAGCCACAGTTACACACACAATGCCAACGCTCTTGGCAGACCACCTCAGCGGGGGTGAGGAAGGGTCCCTGTGAACTAGAACAAGTTGAGCTCTTTGGGCCTCAGTGGTCTCATCTGATAACAGTGCCTTCCTAGCGGGAGGGTGTGTGTTAAAGGAGATACTGGAAATCAAGTGCTCATCTTAGAACCAGCCACATATAGGTGCTGAATATATGCTTATTAATTTCTTTCCATTTTCTCTCCTTCTCCTCCTGCCTTTTTGCGGAGAAAATGAAGCCATCAAGTAGAAATCCTCTCAAGCTCAAGTTCCCATTTCCAACCAAAAGACCTTCCACTGTGACCCCCTCCCTAAAGAACCAGGCATCCCCCCCTCACACCTCCCTCCCCGGCCCTAGCTGAGTCCTTACTTTTTAAATCTGTGCCCCATCTTGACCTCACCTCTGACTGTGTAACCTGGGGCAAATGATTTAACCTTTCTGTCTCCTTGTCACTGGTGAAGTGGGGACAGTAATGGCTCTGGCCTCATAAAGTGGTTGTGAGGATTAAGAAGATGGTCCAAATAAAACACCAGTTTTGGCAAACTGTAAGTGCTTCACGAGGGAGAGTTGTAATTATTCTACTTATCTTTTAGTTCCCTAAGGATCAAATGATCGAGTATGACCCATCTCTTCTGAGGCTTCAGTCTTGCTCCCCATGCTGATTATTTTCCTCAGCATTAAGGAAGTTCAGCTCTCTCTCAATTAAAAACACACCCCTTCCCTCTGCCCAGTGTCCCTGGCTGCTACCACCCAGCCTTACCTGTCATGCTTCCTTCCAGGAAGGACTGAACAGCTTGTCTCACCTCCCCCACCCAACCTTCTTAACTCCCAGGAAGCTGGCCTTCACCTTGACTTCTCAGCAAGGCCACCCTCTCAATGGACACTTTCCCACCTTGGCAGGGTGCTCCCTCTCTCCCTTTGACTTCTTCCCTTACTCTGCTCTCCCCCTGACTGCCCCCTAAATGCAGGTGTTGTGGGGTTCCCTCCTCTCCCTCTGGTTCATCCATGCATGTTGTGGGGACTCTTAGCGGCCCCCTCTGTGCTGGGATTCCTTCATCTTATTTCCATCCCAGGGCTTTACCTTAAATACCAGATTTAGGTTTCCAGCTGCCTGCTGGTTACTTCAGCCTGTATGTTTCATGGGCTTTCAAACACCTGATTTTCTCCCCAGACCTGCTCTTCCCCATTTTCTCTATTCTAGTGCCTCACTCAAACTAGCACCCCCCACACACACATGTTCGCAAGTCCAATCTAGCCCATTTCCTTAATTTGTCTTAATTCTAAGTGCTGCTAGCTTACTTTAACCTTCCTTTCTTGACTTGATCATTACAACATTTTCCAACCTACCTTCTGATGGTTTGCAACACTGGATGCACATTAGAATCAAATGGGGAACTTTATAAAACAATCTCAATACCAAGCCACACCCCTAATCAGTTACATCAGACTCTGGTAGTGAGGCCCAGGCATCAGAATTTTTCAAGTTCCCCAGGTGAATTGAATGTGCAGCCAGGGTTAAGAACCACTATCTAATATGACCCCTTCCATTCCATTCTGCCAGCAGTTCTTTCTTTTTAAAATGGATTTCTGATCACATCGGCTCTCCTACTTAAAATCTTCCACCAGCTCCCCATCACGCAGAGAATAAACTCCAATTCCTTAGCATGACTTATAAGACTCTGCATGACCTGGGCCCTGCTCAGCTTTCACACCACTTTCTGGCTTCACTCTTCCCATGCTTGGAAGGGGAATAAGGATGGAGAGACTGGAGGCAGGGGCCCTAGTTAAGAGGCTGTTGCAGTCCTATAGACAAGCTCTAGTCCACTGGTTCTCAAATGTGCCTGCACCTTGGAGTTTTAAAAAATTGTGGTGGTTGTGTCCACCATGGAATTTTTTTTTTTTATTTGAGACAGAGTCTCACTTTGTTGCCCTAGGCAGAGCAGGTAGAGTGCTGTGGCATCACAGCTCACAGCAACTTCAAACTCTTGGGCTCAAGCGATTCTCTTGCTTCAGCCTCCCAAGTAGCTGGGACTACAAGTGCCCACAACAACACCCAGCTATTCTTAGAAATGAGGTCTCGCTCTTTCTCACGCTGGTCTTGAACGTGTGAGCTTAGGCAATCCACCTGCCTCAGCCTCCCAGAGTGCTAGGATTACCGGTGTGAGCCACCATGCCCGGCTTACCATGGAGTTTCTAATTTAATTGGTCTATGATGCAGGCGCAGCATCAACTCCCCAGGTGATTCTAATAAGCAAAAAGTTTGAAATCCATTGCTCTAGTCCAGGGAATCTTAACCCTAGAATAACATAGGGAGTTTTAAAGAAATACCAATGCCTTCACCCCATCCTGCCCAATTAAATAAGACTCTCTGGGAGGAGAAGGGGCCTGTGCATATGTTGTTCTTTCCATCTGGAATGTCGTGACTGACTTTTCTCTCCGTCACTCTCCCACTCATCCTTCTAGACTCAGTGCAGTATGATTTATTTGTGGGCAGACTGCGCTAGCCTGGCTGAGGTGCTCTCCTGCCTTTGTACTTGGTTTACCTCAGCGTTTACTGTTTACCTTCCTGATTGCAGCTGAACTGTTTCATTTTTTCCCCATGTCAGGCCCAACAAATATGTGCTATATGATTGAATGAGAAAGACAGAGCAGAGCACCAGGGGCTACAAGCCATCTCTGGAGACCTGCAGGGGATGATCTGGGCCTGCTGCTTGCCTGAGCCGGAGCCCAGGGTGTGGGAGGTGTCTGGGGGGGGGGGATAAGAGTGTTACCTAGGTTGGCACTGAGCTTGAGGGACAGGCTCTCCCTCCAGAGCTTGGCAGCAAGGACACCATTGTAGTATACAGCCTGGACCCCAAGTGCCAGCTGCACTACCTTCTCCTGGTCACTGGGGTTAACCAGGGTCACAGAGAGCTGGTCATCCCCTCTCAGGGGTAGAGAGCTGGGTGCTTCCAAAAACAGGAAGAAAGGATCAGCAGACTCGAGACTGGGAGGATGGATGTCATCGTCTTTCCCATGTTCCATTCTCTCTTTCTGGACTCTCTCCAGCACCTCTATTTCTTGAAGAGATCCTAGGGAATGGGAGAAATAAAGCAGACCTCTCAGCCAGCAGGTATAGACCTTCTAATACAAGGATTAAAATATCATTCATCCTCTCTGCTCAAATGCCAAAGTCACAAGAGCTTTGCAGACCTCAAAGGCCATGTTCAGCCCAAAAAGGTTTGTGTTAGGCAGCTCCTCTGTAGATATAGTGTGTCTCTTCCAGGCTACTCAAGGGTGAAGTTGTTTTTCAAATGCTATGAATTTATTTGTTCCTTGAAAAACGAGAGAGCAGCTTTGGAACAAAGTCTCACTTTGTCTCCCCGGGTCAAGTGCTGTGATGTCACAGCTCACAGCAACCTCAAACTCTCAGGCTCATGTGATTCTCTTGCCTCAGCCTCCCAAGTAGCTGGGACTACAGGCGCCTGCCACAATTCCCGGCTATTTTTTGTTGCAGTTGTCATTGTTATTTAGCTGGCGCTGGCTGGGTTTGAACCCACCAGCCTTGATGTATGTGGCTGGTGCAGTAACCACTGTGCTACAGGCACCAAGCCAAAATTCACACTGTTTCTGAGGAGAGTTTTGGAAGGAATTGAATCTTCTTAGGTGAAAGCATTTGGATTTATTCCAAGGACAGTGGGGGCTATGGAGTATTCTGGAGCAGGGGAGTAACATAATGACTTCTGAGTCTTCAAAAGCTTATTCTGGAAACTAAAAGTTGGAAATGGAACGCTGATGGAGAGACTGCAGGCAGGGGAACCAGTTGGGAGACTGTTACAATCCCGTAGGCGAGAGACAGTGAGGCCCTGGATTAACTATAGCGGTGGGGAATGAGATCAGGAGATAGACATGGGGCTGTGAAGAGGGAAGACGCCAGGCCAGTGTGAACCTTCTTGTTTGGGCAAACAGGTGGATGGTGATGCCATTAACTAATATGGAGGAATAGGTTGGGGGGATGTTGGAGGGGATGGAGAGAGGGACAACACCAAAAGTCTTCTGGCAGCTGGGCTTGGCTTAAGTGTATTGTTTTACCTGTATAGCAGCAGTTCTCAACTGGGGGCAATTTTGTCTCCCAAGGGACATTTGGAAATATCCGGAGATATTTTGGTTGTTACAACTGGTAGTAGTAGTGGTGGGCGCTGATATCTCACAGGGAGAAGACAGGAATGCTGCCAAGTGTCCTGGGATGCACGGCCCCTCACAACAAAGACTTATCTGGCATAAAAAATGGGTAGCCTCAGGCAGGGTAGAGAAACCCTGTTTTGTATTATGGGGAAGGGACTGGGACGCTTTCTGGCCTGCATCTATATGGTGTATCCCATCCCTTTGTTTGCTGCTCTAGATGCTGAGAAGCCTGGGGCCCTTCCCTGGTCGGTACCTTTAGGATACTTGTAGTTCTGAGTGATGTCCTCACAGCGGTCACTGCCCACACCCTTGGTGCTGATGTTGTTGCCAACATACTTTGTGTTGGAGTCAGTCAGCTCCAGTGTCCCATCCTCACAGCTCTTCCAGACCACACACGAGGCGTTTACTGCGGCAAAAAGGTCTGACACTGCAGGGGTCAGCCCCAGGGTCCCCTCCTTGACTGCTCTGACTGGGACCAGATCGCAGAACCCCGGGACTGAAGGAGAGAAAGGTCAGTGAGCAAAGGAGCCATGCCTCCGCCTCTGCTCAGCGCACAGCTGCCTGCCTTCTGTCCTGTCCTGCACCCTGTTCTCCTTCCCCAGGACCAGGTCGGAGGTGGGCACAGGGAGGGTCTCTGAGAGTATCACAGAGGTGAGACTCACAACCATCTAGTGATAACACGTTGGTCATGGCCTGTGGCAGGAGCCCCCTCAGGAACTGGACAGGCAAAACACTTAGCACAGGGTGCTCCCAAGCCAGTTGTATTGCTGGTCGCAGGAATAGGGCAGCTTTCTTAAGCACTTAGTAGGTGCCAGGCTCTGTGACATTTCTGTTCTTGTGTGAGGAAGGGCCACACAACTTTGTATGGGCCCTAAAGTTTCCTTCTCTGGGTTTGAGCCAATCCTGATACCTTCTTCGTCTATGCCCTAAACCTCAGAAGCCCCACCTTGCAAGCCCCTGGCCTACCACATCCGCTGGCCATCTTAAGGCCCTCTGCTCTTCACTGAGACTCAGTTCCTTTGCCCATTGCTCTTGTCATCAGGATGGCTGACGCCTATATTCCCTTGAGCCCACTGGCATCAGGTCGGCATTGGGCTGGCCACTACTTTTCTTCCGCTTCCCCTGTTTTGAGGATGCAGACTCCCTCTGGACCACCCGCTGCTCCCAGGAACTCCTTGCAGCTCTGCCCAGCTCTGAGTATTCCAGCCCCACTCCCGGGCTTTACCTCCTCTTTCACTAGGAGCACTTGGGTGCAGAATCTGCCATCCGTCATAACCCTGGGGCAAAGCAGGCCGGGCCATCCAACACTCTGTGGAAGTCTGGAAGATCCTGAATGTAGCACAGGGAAAAACTCAGGTGGAGAAAAGAGGGAGTGCTGAAGAGGTTCTAGAACTGCCGCCTGGCAGAGTTGTCATTACCACGGGGATGGGAGGACACTGTGTAAAAGTGGCTGCAATGCTCCCAGGAAGGGGCGGACACAACATGACTAACCATCAGCACCTGCTTCCAAGAGTCTGGAAAGCCTACTCTCAGTGCCAGAGCCACCCAGGTGTGGGGGTTTTCCTTTGGGGTACCATGCTGGTTTGGACCCCTTCCTGGCCTTGAACCTCCTCTCCTTCGGGCTTCTCACCAGATTCTGCCTCTCTGGCCTTCTCCGTTCTGAAGCCCCTCCTCATTGTAGTACTCATCCACCAGCAGACCCCCACGGGTGCCCTGCACTGAGCCAAACGTGGTCACAACACGCGCAGGGATCCCCAGGCATCGAAGTACTGTGGGAAGAGGGGCGAGGGTCGGAGGGCGCCAGAGGGACCAGGCCTGGGGAACAGGTAAGGCTAGTTTTCAGTGTATCCTCACACAGGCTCTGCCTTAAATGCCAGGTGACATTGTGGACAGGGGAGGGGTACTGGCACCAGGGAGTCAGGACTGACACCCAAGAACAGGATGTATAAAGGCTGATAAATAAGGCACAAGTTACACAGTGTGCAGAGTATATAGTGGGGATCGGGTCACAGAACACAGCAGAACACTGGGGGCTTACTCTTTTGGGGGCTCGGGGCAGGAAAAGTTTCAGGGAGAAAGTGAATTTGGGACCAGAGTTTACAAATGAGCCTGACTTTGCTGAGGGGAAAGAAGCAGAAGCTGAGGGGAGGAGCTGCCTGGGACAGGCACTCATGGGTGTGATAAAGGTGGGGAAATGCTGTGGAGAGGATGCAGATTCTGGAGATATCCCTCTCAGATAGGAGGCCAAGGGACAACCCAAGAGGCAGGGCAGACACAGTTCTGTAGCCAAGGTGACCAACCCAGCACCCCCTGCTCTGTACCTGTGCAAGTAACTGCGGCCAGCACCCAGGCCTGCCCATCATACACTGGGCGCCCTTGGCCAGTGAGCCACTGCCGCAGGATGGGCACACTGCCCCGGCGTTTATTCAGCAGGGTCTGTTCCTGGCCATCCAGGGTGTGCGGCATGGGCAGAACGTACTTCTCCTTGAGAGTGCGCAGCTGTGTGGGGAAGTGTGTGGATGTCAGTGTGTGAGTCCCCAGGCAGGACAGCTTCCAGGGGATGAGCATGGTGGACAGACCACCTGTATCAGTCCCTGGCTACTTGGTAAAACTGCATGTTCGTGGGCTCCACTGGGTTATAATCTCTAGGGCTGGGACCTGGGACCCTTCTTAACCCATCCTCTGGCTCCAACCACATGGGAGCAGGGGAGCTGCCCCTCACTGATAGCTGATTTCACTGGCCCTTGGCTTCCCCACCCTGACTACTTTGAGATGGCCTGCACTTGGCTCCTGGAGGCTGCTTGTCCCAAGCTTCCTCCTACTCCCAGGGTGGCCTTGACTCTTACCACTTCTTCAGTGGGGCCTTTAGAGGTACAGAAGGAAATGGAGACCACGTTACCACTCCGAAAGTACTCTTAGGGACAAGGCAAAGCACCAAGTTACCTTCACGCTCTGCATATTCTTAGGAATAACTTAGAAATAAAATAAATCCCTGTGATCACCACAGCAGGTAACAGTGAGACCCTATGCCCTCCTTCCCCAAGACTGAAGCCTCCAAGTTAGGGTGGTGTGGAGGGGAAGAGAGTGCTCTGAGGCCCAGGCCAGTTTCAGTCCTCAGCTGGCTTTTGTCCTGAGAGATGATTCCTCTTTTCGCTTTTCTCACCCCCATGGATACTATGGCCTATCTTTCTCACCCCCCCCCCACTCAGAACCTTCATAGGAACTGTCCCCCACACCCTGGCAGGAAGGGATCATTTGCAACTTGAGGATTTCCAGGGCCACAGAGAGGGTGCAGGTCTGTCAGAGGGCTCTTGTCTCAACTCCTCCCCTGTGTAGCTCCCCTACCTCTCACTCACCAAGGCACCCAACACACAGGCCACGTGCTCAGGCTGGCTCCACTCTGCCACCTTCTTGTCCACACTCAGCAAGTTCAGGCTGAGGTCGATGACATCCCCCTCAAACTGCAAGGAACACACAGGGCCACGATGAAGGGTCTCCGGGTCAGGCACTAATGCCACAAAGCAGCCCCATCATCTCGTCCTCCTCCCAGCCTCAGGCTCCACACCTTCCTCCCTCACCTCGTCCCCTGTGAAGTTCTGGCTTCTCCCTCCCTCCCACCTGTCCCTTGGTCCTTGTGGCTGGGCATACAGTCCTTGACCTGTTCTGTTGTCTAACTCTCCCAAAAGGGTGTAAGCTTTCAAGAGCCAGTGCTGTACAGTCTTGTTTCATTTCATTTCCATTTGGTGAGCTCCTGCTGCTCCCACCAGCACTGGCCTGGGTGTGGAGGACACCAAGGCAGCACTGCTCTAGAGGAACCCACAGTTTGGGCTGGAGACAGGCACACAGCTCCTTAGCTTATGATCCCAGCAGTGTGGCCTGGGCTCTTGTAGAGATGCCAACATAACAGGAGCACAGTGGAGAGATTCCTTCTGCCTTTGGGGATGAGGAAGGTTCGCAAAAGGTCTTAAAAGACAGGTAGGAGTTTGTCAGGAGATAACGCAGGTAAGCTATTCCAGGCAAGGAGAACATTCGGCCTGGTGTTCCAGGAAGGGGAGGAGCTGGCGCATGGGAGAGAAGAGCAGGGAAGTGGCTAGAGGGGCCCTTGGTGTCTAGCCAGGGTTTGAGTCTTTATCCTGTAGACAGTGGGGATTAAACAGAGATTTGATTTGTCACAGTTTTTAGGAAGATAACTCTGGTAGCTACAGAGGGTGGTCTAATGTGGCCTGGAGGAAAGGCGAGCATCACAGGACCAGTGAGCTAAAGAAATGGCCTCATGGCCAGAGGCTTTTGGACCTGCCAGCTCTACCCAGCCTGGACACTGAAGGTCATAGATAGTACTGACTGCACCTTCCCGCCCACTGAGGTCCCTAGTACCTGGCCAAAGTCCCAAGACTCTGCCTGGATGCAGTCAGCGGTGCCCAGGTAGATGAGACCATTCTGGTTCAATAAGTACTCCCAGCGCTGAGCCTCATTCCCCAGGAACACAGCATCCTCTGTCAAGAAGAAGGGATGAGGACCTGTGGGGTGCTAGGCCTGCCCTCTGTGTCCTGACCCCTGCCCTCCCTGCCCAGGTCAGTTTTGGCTTACAGACCTCCCCTTTAGCTCTGGGCTAGAGACTGAGAAGAAAGTCCCTTTTTTGCTGTTCCCAATGGGACCCAGCCCAGAGTCCCTTCTGACCAGGCAGACAGGAACCAGCCAACCTTAAAAAGTCTAGTCATTCCCAGGAGACACATAAGCCAGAGCACTGTTGGCCCAAGAGAAATTGACAATAACCCAGGGAGCTTCCCAGTGGCCTGTAGATCTTTCCCATGAGTCCAATTTGTGACCCGAGAAAGGTATTTCAGGTAAAAAAAAAAAAAAAAAAAAATATATATATATATATATATATGCATATATATATGTATATGTATAATTAAGCATAGATTGACAAGAGAGAAGAGAGGGAAGAGGAGCATTTAGCATGAGAGGTTGGAAGAAGCAGGAGAGTTGAGAAGTAGAAGTCATAGCATTGAATTTCTGCCCCAGGGTGTCTAAGTGGGTCTGGGACTCCTATGGGCTCTTCCTGGTGCCCCTCCTTCTTTTCTCATCCAAGGCTTGGACTGGACATCATGGGGAGGGTGGGCGACTCTTTTTTTTTTCTTTGAAACAGAGTCTTACTCTGTTGCCCTGTGTTGAGTGCCTTTGCATCATAGTTCACAGCAACCTCAAACTCCTAGGCTTAAGCGATCCTCCTGTCTCGGCCTCCTGAGTAGCTGGGACCATAGGCATGCACCACCACACATGGCTAGTTTTTCTATTTTTAATAGAGACTCAGGCTGGTCTCAAACTCTTGAGCTCAAGCAATCCACCACCTCATCCTCCCAGAGTGCTAGGATTACAGGTGTGAACCACTGCACTGGGCCAAGGGGGAGCGACTTTTAAAAAGGCCATTGCCCAGTCTGGGAAGCTGGGAACAGTGAGGGAGCTTCCCTGGTCACCAAGTACCTATGGCTCTGACCAGGTATCTGGGGAGGGGTGAGGAGGACTTACTAGTTCCTGGAGACTAGAAAGAGAAAAGAATTTCTAAACCATCACCCCAGCTCCCTCTAGGCACCCAGCTGGGATGAAAGTAGTCAAGGCAGCAGGAAGACAGGATATTAGAAATCAGGAAGCCCTGAAAAGTCTGGGGCCAAAAATTATACAGCCATACACCCAAAGAGCACCCAATTCCTGCCCCCTATCCTGAGCACTCTCTGTGAAGTCAGCTAGGCATCACTTCTTTAGCCATCACTCATATTGAGATGTTTGGCCCCAGGATCTGCAGGGCTCTGGGAAGTGCATATGACAACACAGGCAGCACCACCCTCCTCTTCTCTGCTTGGGTGCAGCCTCTTTTATAAAGTTCCCAGCCTATAAATAGGGCTTGACTTTTATTCCATGAGGTACAATTTTCTTTTGAATCCAGGAGAGCTCCATCTCCAAGTATGCTAAGATGAGACTGACATGTTAGAGAATCTCTTAAGTACCTCGCAGATGAGCAGAGCCCACACCCACCCCAGCCCAGACACACACTCTTGCAGAGGGGACTTCCCTGGGTAGGTCCCTACAAACTGAGCAAGGCAGGAATCTAGGCACTGGAGTCACAGCTTGGGTCAACCCTGAACTAAAAACTGTCTTTCTCTGGACACCAGGGCCTAGCTCTGGATATGGACTCAGGGTCAGCTAGGGGGCAGACCAAATCCTCCACCTTAGAGGGAAGTCTTGAAGGTCTTCCTGTGAGTATGTGCCAAGCCACAGGGCCTCCCCCAGCCGAAGGCCCTGCGTTGACATTCACCCACACTGGGGGAGAGGGCACCTGAATGCACAGTAGTTCCCATCATTATTCCACCTGCCTATACCCTTAGAGCAAGAAAGAAGGGCCTGAGCTGTGGGTGGGGCATCTATGGCGGGGGTGTGTTGGATAACTGTACCCTGGACAAGAGAAGTGGAGAGAGAGCCCACTGGGATTCAGGTACCACGGGCAAAGGCAGTCAGGAACCTGGGTCCAGGCACGGGGCCGCCTATGAGAGCCTGGGAAGGTTCTTTGACTTCTTCATGCTTCCCCATTCAGTCTGGCAGTGAAACTCTTGAAAGGAAAAGGGCTATGCTCTTGTCTGGTGTTGGAAGGACAAGAAATATTTTCCATTCTCCCAATCAACCCTTCAGGGAGCCTGAAGGAGTAAGGTGGGTGAAGCAGATTTTTTAAACAGAGACAGACTCAATCTTCAGAAAGGGAAGGAAGAGAAGATACCCTATTGGGTCCTATTTTAGGCAAGTCAACCATGTCTTCTGGTCCTTCTTTCATGAAATAGCCACAGACATAACCACAACCAGAGCCAGGCTGTGCCAGAGGTAGCCCTGGAGGTCACCTAACCCCAGGAAAACCTACCCATAGGCTGGTGAGCTACAAGGCTCCGGGAAAATCTTAGGACAAATAAATATGGAGAGGACCCAGAAATCTGTAGTAAAGAGCAAAACAAGTAAGTGAGAGGAGGAAAGTTAGTGAAATGATAGATTTACTGTGCAGCTGAAGCTGAAGCGTGGGGGCCCTCACTCACACATCCCTTCAAGCCCTGGGCAGAGGGGACTTAGAAATTCAAAATTCTGTATTATTTTTTTTCAGTAGGGTGCCTGAAATTATATAATCTGAAAGCATCCTGGAGACAGACTAGGGGAGACTAGGAGAGAGGGAAAGAGGCCCATCCCTTGAGCCACCCTTTCCTGGTGTCATCTCAGTGAGTCTCAACTCCTGACTAAAACAGCCAGAGCCAGCACCCTGGGATAGTGGTAAGATAAGCTTCCAGGCTGCTTCTACTGGGGGGATATAAAGACAGGACCGTGGGGCTGAGAACCTGTTCACCCACGGAAAAGGCAGCAGCAGTAACTGAGTGCTAGGGGGATCTGTACCCGAGCTCTGGTGCCTTGAGTCCCTGTGAAGCCAGGCTGGCCAGGTTCAAACTTACCTCTACCCCAGGGGTTAAAGAGCACGGTGAACTTGCCCAGGCGGTGTTCTTTGCCTGACACCTGCAGCAGAAGTGAGTAGTGGCCAATGACAGCATCTACAGGCGTGGTCACAGAGATGGTCCAGGACTGGACATCTCTCTCCGTCACCACTGCATTCCACCACTTTTGGTCCCCCACACTGGAAATGGGGAATGTGGCTTGGGTCCCATTGGTCTTGGAAGGCTGCTCTCCTGCAGTGACACAATGGTAAATAGATTACTTGGAATTCTTGGTCCCAGCTCAGAGTAATAAAGTCAAGGTAGTACAAACATGGAACAGGCAAAAACTGGTTTTGGAGGAGAATGAAAGAGACCCTTCCAGTGATGAGGAGCATAAAGGGAGATGGAAGAGCACCCATGGGTGCTCTTGGCACCCAGGGACCTATGTCTATAAAAGGCTCATAGTCTGGAAAGTGAGCATAATAATAGTGCCTGCTTCATAAGGCCTGTGTGAAGACTGAGTAAGGCATTGAGTGTGAAGTACTTGGCCCAATAGCTGACATATAGTACAGATTCAATAAACAGTAGCAATTAAATGTTACATTTAGCCTGGATTGGATCCCATTTTGGGCTTTCTACAAAGCTGATATTACATTTGCGACCAAAAGGAACCCCTGAGTGACAATGCTGCTGAGCACTTCTGAGTTCTGGTGCTCTTGATAAACAGAGTTTATTATATGCACCACCTCGTGGCATCCTCACAGAAGCCCGCTGGCTGGCAGGACGTAAGGCCCAGCTGTGGGATGGGCCATTTGCCCTTGGTTTGGTAACAGGGTTCTGGAGAGTGACACCCCCATCCGGTGCTGCTGCCAGAGAGGCCTAGACCCATCCCACTTACCAGTCTGTGCAATGAGCTTCACCTTCTTCAGGGCAGGCAGAAATGACCAGACTGGGGCGTGGAAGTGCAGGGTGATGGAGAAGGGCTGCCCCCTCCTCACGATGAGTCGCTGGGAGCTGATGGCTTCGGTGTGGTGCTCCTCATTGTTTCTTGACACCTGGAAGTCGCAGCTCTTGATACCCAGGGCTGTTATGAAAAGAGAGATGTCATGGAAACTAGGCAAATGTGACCACATAAGTGAAAGTGGAGATTCTGGAGTCACAGCTCAGGGTTCAAATCTTGATTCAACTTATTACTTATAAGCTGTATGATCTCAGGCAAGCAACTTAACCATGCTGAGCCTCAGTTTCTTCTTCCTGAGAATAATCATTCCTTTTTGCAATTTGTGGGGATGAAATGGGGCAATGTGTGTAATACACTTAGCACAGTATCGGGCACACAATAAATCCTATTAAATGAGGGTGTTATTATTTTTATTAATGACAGCAATGCTTGTTCTCCTCGTTGCCTTTTTTCCTGGTCCCAGTGCAAAAGTGAATAAAACCCAGAGCTTGCTCCTCCCTACTCATTTTTTCTCATGGCATAATCAGGTAATTTTTAGAGCTGGGCTTGAGATTACTGAGTCCAATTCTCTTGTTTTATAAATGATGGAAGTAAGGCCAAGATCATGGCCTTAACCTGTTAAAGTCTCGCCAAACTTACCACTCTAAGCAGCCCAGAAAACTTCTCTAAGGAGGTATTCTGAGAATATTAGAAAAGTCCATCAGTCAATTCTCGTTTTGTGGAAAGAGGGGGAAAAAGAAGGAGCAGAGAAGTAAAAAAATATGCCCAGCAAGCCCAAGATAAGGCATAGTACTGGGGAAAAAAAATGTATTTCCTCTTGCAGCAAAGGAGTATTATTCCTTCGATGGCAGAGGCCTTTGGGAGCACCTCGGGCTAAAAGATAGCCTGCAGCTTTTGTGCTGCCTCCGCTGCTGTAAGAAAGAAATGATTTTTGCTTCTGCTTGCAGGTATGGAATAGATCTGACCTACTTCCGGGAGGGAGGTCATCTGACCCTGATGGCAAAGTCCTTTAGGCTCCAAGGCATGTCTTGGAGAATTCAGGATGCTCCTATTTCAAATTTCCTTCAGTTTCCACCCTTTCTGGTTTAGAACTCAAGAGCAGAGGGGAAGAATGAGGAAAGAAAGGAGAGCAACCTATTTGCTCTTTTTTTTTTATTTTATTAGTGATAGAAATTGATTGAAGATGCCAATGATATAAAATTAAATAGGAAAGAACTGATATCATTGAATATGAAGCAATGTGAAGGTGAGCAGAGGGGACAAGAACCTCCCTACACATCTGGTCCTGGTATCCTTGGGTGCCCCTTGGGCCTTTGTGTCCCCTTTATCCTCAAGTGGCCTGAGGACAGGCCATGGCTATAGAAAAAATAGCCACTGTGCTTGCAAATTGAAGTATAGCAGCACTTGGAAACCAGAAGTGACTCCTCTCTGCTTAGCACCAAGCTGGTTCTAGGGCCTAGGACAAGCCCTGCCTCTGCAGGCTGGTTGAGCTGGAATGGATGGCGGAATGGTGAGCAGTCATGTCCTAAGGCATATGACTGGGCCTCAGTAGATCTGAATACACACAATGATCCCAGTGTCACAGGGAGAAATTTAGAATCCATCTGGATGCCAGTTCTGTCTGGAGGGTTTCTCCGGTCTCTTTTCTATCTGGCAGGTGTGTACTCATTTTCTAAGACTCAAAGGCACTGCCTCTGAAGCCTTCACTGAATCCTCCAGGCAGAGGTTGGTCCTCTGAGGTCCCACAGTGCTCTGTGCCACTTTCCCACACTCATGCCATTTCTAAGCCATCACCTGCCTCGCCTTCTGCTTCCCCTTGCACTGTACACTTCCTGAGGTACAGGGTTTTTTCATATCTGCATTCTTTGCCCCAGTGTTGCAGACAACACGGTAGAAACACAGTGTTTGTTGCATCAATGAATAGATGAGAACATTGTGACAGCCTGTGTTTTTTTTTTTTTTTTTTTGAGACATAGTCTCAGTCTTTTGTCTGGGGTTGAGTGCCATGCCATCATAGCTCACAGTAACTTCAAACTCCTGGCTATCCTCTTGCCTCAGCCTCCCAAGTAGGTGGGACTACAGGCATGCACCATGACACCCAGCTAAGTTTTCTATTTTTTTCTTTTTTTAAATAGAGATGGGGTCCCTCTTGCTCAGGCTGGCCTCAAACCCCTGAGCTTAAATGATCCACCCTTCGTGGCCTCCCAGAATGCTAGGATTATAGGCATGAGCCACTGTGCCCCCTGCAACAGCCTTGATGGGAGTTTCTTGGGTGCATCCCAGGGGCCTCACGCCTTCATCTTTGCTGACAGCCCCTTGCAGAGGCCTCTGAGGTTTCTGCATTCCCTAGCTTGCTTTATGTCAGCCTTTGCACCTTTTGGGCGGATTCCCTGAATCCTGCCACCCCTTCTCTCCTATTGGGCCTTGAGACTATGACACCCTCACGCTTTCCCAGAGTCTTCCTCTATTTGTATCACAATCCAGTAAGAAGTCGTGCTAACATGGACCCCAAGGAAAATGCTTTTCAGACTCTCACTGATGTGCACAGTATCCCACCCTTCCCCCTCAGCTTTTCTCAATACCTTAGCACTGCCTCCTGCAGGTCCTTCAAGTGACTATGGGCTGGTAAATGTTTAACAACTGGCTTGAGGGGTGAGGGGAGGAGGAGTACTGAGTGGTAACATCTGCCAATTTCTGTGGTGTAAACACTTCCAGCACGGCCAGTCTCAAGCTACTGATGCGATGCCATTGAGTGCAGAGTGTGCAGAAGTGCAGGTAACACACATTTGTATGGTTTTCCCACTACACAGATGCAATAGAGGTAAATATGCTCAAGAACATGAAGGTAAAAAGGCGTAAAATGATTAGGAAGTGATGAGTTTATTCATTATCTTTGTTTTTAATATAATTTGTTTACTTATAAGTCTATAAAATTTAATTTTTAATAATGTCTGCATTTAAGAACTGGTGCACAAGTTCCTAAAAATTTAGCAATTGGCTCTTGCAAGCCTGTACAAGGAAGCACAAGCCAGCCCCACACACCACAACCAGGGAGCAATAGGATCCAGTGAATCCCATCTGGTGGTTAGGGGGTATTCTTCTGTCTCTTGCTTAGAAAGGATTTGGTGCCCTGGGGTATCATCTGGTTTGGGACTAGACTTGACAGTCTCCTGGTATCTTTAGACATGTCCCTCTGAATGAGTAGATTTTTAGTTTGTCTAAGTCCCCACAGAATAAAAAGGATAATTTACTGTTGTGTCTGCCCTATTTTCATGGGACATGATTGAGTTGATTGTCTGAATCTGCCAGAGTTCTTCTTTCCGCTTTGCAGGTGTTGGTCTCAGGGTGAGTTGCCCTCCACACACCCAACTGGCTACCTGGGGCTGAGGCACGAGGCTGTTTCTGTAACAGAACCACAGCTGCTTCCATGATCCCCACAGTCTCCTCCTCATCTCCCTCTCCCCTCCCACTCCTTCCCTCAGGACATAAAAGGCATAGGAAATTCCACGGGCTGAGAGATAGTACTCTATTCCTTGCTCGGACTCTGGTAACCTCTGCCTGTTTTTTTGCTTTGTGTCGGCCTCTGCCTCTTTTAGCTGGATTCCCTGACTCCCACCTTCCCTTCCCTATCATGTGGCCTTGAAGCTATGACAGCCTCATGCTTTCCCAGGGTGTCTCTCATTAGCATAACACTCCAATGAACTGTGAACCCACAATAAGAATAAAAATCCGTGTTAACCACAGTCTTTATCTCAGGGTCATCATCACAAATATGACCAACAATTTACCCCAATGCCCCACCCCATTCCCACTCCACAGCCACACCACCATCCCCTCCATTTGCACCAGCACCCACTTCCCCCCACCGTAGACACACCACCATCACTCCCACCACCCTACGACTTCCTTTACTGAAAACACATAATGAGAGAGAGGCCAGTAAGCCCCAAGGATTGCTGGCATGGCTCACCCTGTCCCATGGCTGCAGGCTTCTCTGATCCACTTGACCACGGGAAATGCCTATCTTGAACTTTTGCTTCTGTGTTCTCTCTCCAAATATGTTGTCCAGACAGAAAATGATGTAGGTATTTTTGTTGGCTTAAGAATCTGTAAATAGGCAAACCTCCTTGCACTCCTCCTGTGAGCCTGTGAGCATCCAGGCAGGTGTATTCTCTCCTACTCCCTCCCTTCTGATATCTCCTGGACCAGCTGCTGGGAGTAAGCCTCTGCATTTTATCTCTTACACCAGGAGGCCCACGGCGGGGGTGGGGGGGTGGGGGGTGGGGGGGCAGAGTATGCCTCGCAGATGTGGATAGGGGATGGGACGGGGGAAGATCTGCCAACCAGAGAAGCCCAGATGAAACTACAAAGCCTGGTGCTTCAGTGGCCTTGGGAGACCCTCAGAGATGTTATCTGGACAAATCTTAAAGACTCTGGAAGAGATAACTCCACAAAGAGGAGGCCCATATCCATCTCCAAATCTTGAGCCCTAAACATACGATGGGCTACAAGTTGTTAGATGCTCATGGCTGTTTTGATAATAGAAAGAATGTCTATGTCTGGAATTCATTTGTGTGAAAGAGATAAGGAGGCAGATTTGTTGATGAAAAATAAATATCCTAAGAGCAGAAGCCAGGGCCCCAGGTCTTCCAAGCCTACCTGGTCTTAGACACTCCACCAGAGATTTGGAACTATCTTGAGACTCCAGCCTCTGTCTTTAATTTCTCCTATTTGGTCACTGGTGAGACAAGACACAGAAAGAATCTCATATTTGGCCCTGTTTGGCCTTCTAAAGCCCAGCTATTATCTGGGCTTCTGAGACTGTGTCACCAGAAACATTCTTGGGGCAGCTAAACTTGCCTACATGTATATGGGATATCCATAGAAGGCTGTAAAACAAACTACAAAGACATTGGCTGCCTGTTGACAGGGGCAACCTGGGGCTGACAGAAAGGTGATTTTTCTGCTGTATACCTTTTTATACTTTTTTTTTTTTTGGAGACAGGGCCTCAAGCTGTCCCCCTGGGTAGAGTGCCGTGGCATTACAGCTCACAGCAACCTCCAACTCCTGGGCTCAAGCGAGTCTCCTGCCTCCACCTCCCAAGTAGCTGGGACCACAGGCGCCCGCCACAACGCCCGGCTATTTTTTGGTTGCAGCCATCATTGTTGTTTGACGGGTCCGGGCTGGGGATTCGAACCCGCCACTCTAGGTGTACGTGGCTGGCGCCTTAGCCAGTTGAGCCACAGGCGCCGAGCCACCTTTTTATACTTTTAAAACTTTGAAGTATTACCCATTTGAAGGATCATATGTGTAATATAAAGAAATGAAACTATTGCCTTTCCACTCTGCCTGTGGTCCCAGCTACTTGGGAGGCAGAGGCAGGAGACTCTCTTGAGCCAGGAGTTGGAGGTTGCTGTGAGCTGTGATGTCATGGCACTCTACCCAGGGGGACAGCTTGAGGCTCTGTCTCAAAAAAAAGAAAGAAAATGTAACTTATTATACAATAGTTAAGAAGAACAACAAAAGGTAAAATACATAGACATATGTGTGAAATGTTCAAAGGCTGTTGTGAAAAACTTTGAAGCTCTGTTGAGGAATACAAAATATAACTTGAGCAAATAAAAAGGCTGATCAGGCTCAGTGCCTGTAGCTCAATAGTTAGGGTGCCAGCCACATGCACTGGGGCTGGTGGGTTCCAACCTGGCCTGGGCCTGCTAAACAACAATGACAATAACAACAACAACAAAATAGCTGGGCATTATGGCTAGTGCCTATAGTCCCAGACTATTTGGGAGGCTGAGGCAAAAGAATTGCTTAAGCCCAAGAGTTTGAGGTTGCTGTGACATAGTAAGACTCTACTGAGGGTGACGTAGTGAGACTCTGTCTCAAAGGAAAAAAAAAAAGGCTGATCATCATCTTGGGTAGAATGACTCAATACATAAAGATGTCAATTCTTTGTAAGTCGATCTTAAATTTAATTCATTTCCAATAAAAACACCAAGGAGGTTTTCTTTTGAAACTAAATAAACTGATTATAAGTTTCAAAAGGAAATTTCTAAGACAGTAAGAATTTATGATCAGGCTTCCTATATATTATTAATAAAACATAACATGACTACTGTACTTGAAAAAGTCCATAGACCAAAACATACATTAAATATATGCTGAATGTGGCACTTCAAATCAGTGGGGAAAATAAGGATTCATCAGTAAATGGTTCTGGAAAGAGTAGCTTGCCAAAATGTAGTTGGCTTCTTACCTTATACCACATACCCAATAGGTTCCAGATGAATCAAAACTTTACGTGTAAAAAATTAAATCCTTAAAGTACCAGAAGAAAAGATGACATTTATTTTTAAGTCAGCTTGAGAAAACCTTTTAAAATGTTATGCAAAATCCAGAAGGCACAAAGAAAATATTGAGAAATTTGACTCTTTTTTTTTTTAAAAAATGAAAACTCCACAAAGTTAGAAGATAAGCAACAAATTGTGAAAAGTGTTTGAAACTCACATCATAAAGAGTTATCTTCCTTAATATAAAAGAGACCTACAAATCAATAAGAAAAGAATAACGAACCAAAAGAAAATGTGTAAAGGATATGATGGATAATTCACAGAAAATGAAATACAAGTGTCTCTCAAATGCATGAAAAGATAGATGTCTGACCTCACTAAAATTGCAAAATTAAATTACCCTGATACATCATCTTTTTTCACCTGTCAGATTGGCAAGATAAAAGAGTTTGACAACTGTAGCAGCCCATATAGCCTCTGGCTAGGAGGAGTGAGAGTTATAGGAAATACCTGTAATGGAACGCCTTGGTGAAAAGGGCATGGAGAGAGATTTGGTTCTAACTAGCATGAGAGAGCTCGTGAGATGAGAGCATTGGTGAATTGGCAGTCTCTACAACTGTGGTGTTGAGAGGCACAAGCTCAGCCTTATATTAGGCTGGAGGAGAAGGTAGTAAAAAAAAGGCGTGTGTATTCTATTGCGGATCCACTTACTCTGACTCTGTCTCCTCTCCTGCCTGCAGAAAGCCTGCATGGCGTATCTCTGCTGAAGATTACCAAGCTCTGCTAAAGACTAAGATCTATCTGTTCTAAGAAGACTGCTTTACTCTCTCTAAGATACTCTGTCTCTCTCTCCAGCTAAAGCCCTCAAGCACCTAAGAGAAACTGTTCCTGAGCAAGGTAGCTTAGTGGTCCACATCCAGAACCTACCTAAGCTGGGCCCGAGACCTGGCCAGTCCCGGCCCCTGAAAAGTGGTGTCAGAAGCAGATCCTGACAGACAACATTGTGAGTTAGTGGTGTTTTGGGGAAATATTCTTACATTGTGCTGGTAGGACTGTAAATTGATGCAGGCTTTATGGAGAAAGTATTAGTAAGCTTGGGCTGTTATAACAAGATATAACAGGGCTGGACGCAGTGGCTCACGCCTGTAATCCCAGCACTCTAGGAGGCCAAGGTGGGTGGATTGCTTGAGCTCAGGAGTTGGAGACCAGCCTGAGCAAGAGCAAGACCCTGTCTTTAAATACAGCTGAGCATAGTGGTGGGCGCCTATAGTCCCAGCTACTCAGGAGGCTAAGGCAAGACGATTGCTTGAGCCCAAGAGACTGAGGTTACTATGAGCTATGATGCCACAGCACTCTACCCAGGATGACAAAGTGAGACTGTCCCAGAAAAGAAAAAAAAAAAACCAACAAGATATAACAGATTGGATGGCTTAAACAACAGACATTTATTTTTTCACAGTTCTGGAACTTGAAGTCCAAGATTGGTACTATCAGGCCTGATGTCTGGTAAGGACTCTCTTCCTGGCTTGCAGATGGCCACCTTCTGGTCTTGCTCTCACTCAGGCTGATCTCCAACCCCTGAGCTCAAGCACCACTCACCTTGGCCTCCCAGAGTACTGTGTCCTTACAAGGCCTCTTCTCTGCATATAGTTGGAAGGAAAGAGATCCCTGGTGTCTTTTCCTCTTCTGCAGACACTATTACTAATGGACTAAGGCCCACTCTTATGACCTCATTTAACCTTTATCACCTTCATATAGGTTCTATCCCCAAATATTGTCACATTGAGGGTTAGGGCTTCGACATACGAATTTTGGGGAAAGACACAATTCCGTCCATAACAGAGGGAAATTAAGTTGTACTAACAAAACTTTAAATGTCCATTTATACTTTTGATTTGGTCATTCTACTTCTACATATTTATCACACAAATAACCAAACAGGTATAAAATAAAATGTATACACATGTATTTCATGCATCATTTATAATAGCTAAAGATTGGAAACTACCTAATACCTGTAAATAAGGTAGTGGATAGATTATGAGACATGAATTCAACACTATACTTTATGTATAGAATGAAGTAGCTCCATAAAAACTGATATGAAACAATCTCCAAGGTGTATTTTCAAATGTAATAAACAAGGTAGAGAAAGACTAGTGTGAGCAGTATGCTACCTTTATATAAAGGATGTGTAAGGGGACAATATATAAATACATGAATTTGCCTGTATTTACATAAAATATTTCTGGAAAGCTACTTCTGAATAGAAATTCAATGCCTAGGGCTGATGCTTTTTCTGTCCTTTGATATATTTGTGCTGTGAGCATATACATATTTCTGTGTTAATATAAACAAAAACTTTTAAGGGAAAGAAGAAGCTGGCTGAAATAATTGTTTTTACCACATGCGCCTCCTACTTGGGAGCGCAATGGGAAAGTCATGGGTTGGTTTTCCTTTGGGAGTTTATTTTACTTCTCTTTCCTGGTAATTCCCATATGAGCACTTCACAGATCCAGTCTCTGGCAGTATTACATTGTAGCTGGGGCACTTTTAGGGGAGCCCATGATAAGACAGGTACTGCTCTGCTTTGGGTGAGCTGGGGAAAGGTAAGTGGAAGATGTGAGGAGGATGGAGGGAAGGATGACCAGAAAGGTCTGTCTGTTTGCTTCCCAAGGCACCCACA